GCTACCTCCTAAAACAAGTAGCTAGTTTCAGTCTGTTAGATAAACTTTCATCTTGCTGTATCTTGATCAAAACAAACTTTTGGCTGCAATGCACTTCTGTAGCCTTCTACTCTACCACAAGTACTGCCCTCAGCTGAAAAAAATCTGTAACCATTCTGCCTCTTGAGGAACTGTACCAACAGCACAAAGGGAAATTTAAAGAGATCCTCATAGTAATAAAATAGTCAGCTGTAGTTAACTGTTGGATTTCAGATGGCTTTAATGTGAGTAAAATCAAAGTGGAACTCTTGGTTTCCAAGCCTTCTTTAGAGGTACCTTTTATCTATGCACTTAATTGGACCAGGCAACTTGCTAGGGCAGCTGCAATACTGCTGCACTACAGTTACTGCTAAAAACCACACAAAACAGCATCATGTTAAACTCACACAGAAGAGTTTAGAGGGAAGACTTGTGACTTTCCTAAGTCACTGAAATGGACTTGTACAACTGAACTTACACAAGACAGCTGAGGTCTGCCAAGTCATCAATGAAGTCAAACAACTGGCTGATATCATATGTAATGGATGGACTGTTGGGATTCATTCTCTTCAGATGCTCTTCATACATTTTACAGACTCCTACAGAGAAACAAGATTAACCATGCAATATTAAAAGACTATGAGCTGAAACTTTTTCAGCTCTTGATCCACAAATAAAAATTTAGAGATTACCACTGTAAAAGCAACCAAATTTTCTAGAGCTGAAATTCTTTTGTTCGTAGCAATTTGCACTGAAACATAATACTACAAAATTAGGTAAGATGCACAGAAAGTAAAGCTTTCATCATCTAGGGGAAAAAGGTTTAGTTCTGTCAAATATGTAACTTTCCATGCAGTAAGCTCCAAAGGACATCTGGAACTCCTAATAATTTTAAGACAGCAATTAGAACATATACTCTTACTGCACAAACACCTGAGAAACAGAAGAACTCATAAGAATGACCATTCTTGATCCAAGAGTCAAACTGGGTAGTGAGGGAAGAGTGACAGCACAAACCTGCATATACATTTAAAGCACTTTTATTCATTTAAACTACTAATAATTCAGATAGATTAGAGAAGGATGTAATATTAAAATGAGCACAGAGACTTTGCATGGTCTTGATTATACTTTTGTTTGCCTCAGAAAACCTCCTGCAAGATTAATATTAAGTGAACTACAGCTCTAATATTTCAATCTTCTTTTCATGCTCATTATGTGTATCTAAGTTTTGCAGGATCTTTACTCTGGCACATGGGCCATGAGACTGCAAGTTATGTATCAATTGCACACAATCCTTTATTTAATATAGTATTTTCAGCAGCAATCTTTGCCTTACAGTGCTAGGAAGAGTGAGAATTAAGTGCTGATCCTGCAATGAAATGCATTGCAACAAGTCTGCTGCATGGGCCCAGAAAGAATATAATCTAATCTCCCAAACTGGATGTGGTTTCATCTAGTTAAATAAAAACCAGACATTTAATAGAAAAAGGAAGTTTTAGAAACAAATAATAACTAGTTTTAGTTTGCTAGAACATTAGTAAGCTAAAAGCATGAGGATTTTTGTGAATTACCTTTGAAAAACATGAAGAGCAACTTATTTTCTTACTAAGTTTGTGAATATGTCAAAAATAGGATTTAACAACAGTTTTTAACTCCCACGCCTGCATCCACCCACCTTCCATGCATTCATTCACCGACTCATAATCAGCATATGTTCTGCCTTCTGGCCTCTTGGTAGGCTGGACAAGTAGAATTGTGTGAGACTGGAAAAGAAAACAAACACAAAAATACAGGTTACTTGCACACTTTGAAAGATTTTTGAATTAGGTTATTTATATGAAAGAAGGAGTAAAAAGAAGCATAATAGTAAAATACTAGACTAGCAATCAAGGACACAGGCATTTTCCACATAGCATTTACTATTTATATAAGCTGTGTTAGTAAGTTTTGTTTCCAACAGGTCCTATCAATCCTTATGGAACTTTAAAATGTGTAGAATCACCAGGAAAGCAGCTATTGTGTTGAAAAAAAATACCACAGAAACAGTTTCTATTTAGACAGACAAGGAAAGCTATAAAGTCAATGTATAAGAGCTGTGGCATGAGTTCATTTAATTATTTTTTTCCAAATGCAGTCTGTTAGTAAAATTTTCAACGCCCAAATTAAAGAGCAAAGAGGGAACCAAATTTAACCACACTGCCAGTCTCACCTGAAAGATTTTAACTAAACTAGCTGTTTTGAGTTATTGATTTAACTTCAAGGGAACATCAATGATACAATAAATCTGCACTTAGCACTCAAGATTATTTCTTGCAAAACAGATGTACTGGTTTTTCCCACTTCAATGAGTTTACTTAAACAGTAATTACTGCTCAGAAAACTGTTCCAAATGTTGGAGTCCATAAGCTTGTTCTTCTGCAGGGAAAGCTTAGATGACTGTACACTCTGTGGCTTCCATTATTTCCATAACATTTTTCACTTGGCTGCAGCAAGTAATTTGAGCAAAGAAGCAAGATTTTTGAAGTGTACACAATCTGTGATCTAATTAACAGGTTGCACACCACAGAAAGTTTGCAAGCATGCTCCAAATGGCCGTCTCCAGAGCTGCTAGTTGGATCCAACATTTTCAGTGCCAATATATGAGGTGAGCACTCAACTCAGGGGCAACTGCAGGGTAAGACATCATTTGGCTTAGATTAATCAGTGCCTGACAGAAAAATCCTGACCCATACTTTGGAAATCAGTGAAGATTATGAATTCAGTGCTCATGAAAAGCAGTGACAGAAAATAGAAATGGCAAATGTTAGGATGTAATGGAAAAAAACCCAAACAACAGGACAAATTCTTATCCCATAACTGACAGTGTTCCCATCCTTGGAATAGTTTTCAGTTATTTAATTTGTCTCAACACAGCAGTAGCAGATTCTGAGAAGTTCAGGAAAACATTACACAGAGAAAAAGAAGGAGCAAGACTTTTACTAATCAGAAATAGAAAAAAGGGGAATTCTGAGCTGCATACTGTAACAACAAAAATCATATAAAGGAGAGTAGATAATTTAAATCCACTTTCACGTATGCCAGAGGATGATTGATTTGAAGGGAATTCCCCAAGGAGGGCTGGTATCTGGCTGTTCCTAAGTGCATTGTACTTGAACAGGCATGTCTTGGCAGGGAGTCCAAATACCTGCCAAAGATTACCATAAAATCATTTTTGCAGCACCATCATTTTAATTAGATGGCCACTGAGGAGTGCTAAATGAATGTATAAATTCTGAAATTATCCAAGTAATCAGATTATAGAAAAATCAGTGAGCCACACATGAAAACTGTGGCACAAATGAAGTTGCTTTAGAACTTCACAGCAGAAATCATTTAGGCTTCTGGCTTTAAACTATTTATCACTTCAGACACCATACAATATCCATTATCAGATACTGGCTCAGAAAAATATTAAAATTAATACCCTTGGATCACAGGTAGTGTAGAATTAATGCTTTTCAAACATTTATTTGGGAACTTGACATTATTTTACTTTAAAGGAAAAAAAAATTGTTTGATTTGATAAAATTGCTGGTCCTGTCCTACCACATAGGTACAAAAAATGACAAGTTCAGAAGCCTGAGGGAAGTCTCCTCTGACTATTACCTGTCCCGTGAGCCTAGGTGACATTACCAAAACACGGGAAGATCCACAAACCTTTCCACACAAGCACCAGTTACCTGGAGAAGCCCAATATGGACAGTTATTATGATACATATGCTGAATTTCTTTGCGTTTTCCTTAAAAGCACAGTTGTACTGGCTGCTTTTAAGCAGGACACAGAATGAGACACCACATGCTTTATATTATACCAATTTCAAACTTCTAGACAGCGCTTTAGAATTGCTCCTGCTACTGAAGGCAGAGCCCTGTAAAACGGGTTAAGGCAGTGCCAAGAGCCAAACCAGCAGGACTTAAAAGCCACACTGCATCTGCCCAAAGAGGCTTCCACCAATTGTAGTGTGCGTGACAATAAAGCGGAAAGAAAAAAAACCGCTCTGAAACAATAAAAGTGGAGGATAAACACATAGTGTAAGGGTAAGACGTGCAGTGATGCAAATACCACCCGGCAGCACGCTGCAGACATCTACAGGCCAGGCAGAAAGGGGTCTAAGGACCACCCCTCACTCTGGCCAGCAGGGACAGGGCTCATCATGGCCGAAGCCACCGGCACCGGAGCAAGGACAGGCAGACGGGAACTTCTCTGCAAGCCGACAGGCAGCTGTCCTCCCACCGCACAGCAGCGACTTGCTTCAGCACCTCTTCATTTATTACACGAACGCAACAAACCGCGTGGATAGCGAGGCCTTTGCGCTTCAGCGTGCCATTCCCGGAGCCCCCCGCAGCAAGCTCCCGCCTTCCGCTGCTCCGAGCCGAGGGGAGGAGCGGGGAAAGCGGCGCGGAGAGCGCCAATCAGCCATTTAAGGCCGCACTCGCGGGAGAGCGCTGGGCTTCCAGCGGCGCCCAGAGAAGGAGCCGAAGCTGCCGGGGCGAGGGGCGGGAGCCTCCAGGGCGCCGCTGCCCGAGCGCCGCCGCCGCCTTTGTGCCCCCGCCCCGTCCGGCCCTGCCCCGCCACAACGTGCAGCCGCCCGCCCGGGCCCGCGCCACCGGCCGCCGCCTTCCCGCCCGCAGTGGCCCGGGGGACAGGGAGCGGAGGGGAAGCTGCCCTGGCGTGCACAGCCCGCGGCGATCCGCCCCGTCCCGTCCCGTTCTCACCATGGCGGCTCCGCTCCCTCAGCACCGCCGGGCAGAAGTGGCGCGCGGCGATCCCCCACAGGCCCCCGCGCCCGCCGGAAGCGCCGCCGCGCCAACGGCCGCCACCATAGAGCCGCTCGCGCCAGAGCGCCGCGCGCGCACGCGCCCGCGGGGCCGGCGGCCAGGCTTAACAGGTTG